AAATATTCCTCACTGTCCTGATGTGGGTGATTTCTCGCAAGTGGCACAGCTCTTGGGGAATTCCCGGCACCGAGGTTACCGGTACTCCGATGGAGCAAGCGACGGAACAGGGCCGAGGTTGGGAATGGTAAGAATACCATGGATGCCGATGTGAAGTGGTCGCCCGAGGTCTGTTGATACTAACTTAGATTAGGTGGGCCACCGTGTTTGGGCAGTTCTTTTGGGCCTGGATTGTTGCTCCCATCGTGCTCTGGAAATCTCGCCATATCCATGATACCCAAGGCTGGCGAGTCCAGACGATTGGCTGCGCTCTCGCTAAGTGAGTCTGAATAATGTAGACCGAGAGGATTTCTTCATTAACATCTTACGCAGCCTCCACGGTACCCCGATGTGGCTCATCGCTCTCTACGTTCCTGCCATGGAGGTGGTCAACCAGTACTGGATTCCTCCGCAGTGGTAAGCCCTTCGTCTATATATTCGCAAAACAATTTTCTCACGTGGTATAGGATTTGCCTGTCCATTTGGATCATGGAAATTTTCACTGTCTTTCTACCCTGCTGGGAAGTAATGCGCCACCACGCCCTTCGCCAGGAGACATTCAACGCGATCGAGCAGTGGGAGTCAAAAATGAAGAAATCTGGCTCAGAAGCCAGGTCCCTCAGCTCTGTCCCTACCATGGTCGATTCCATGATGTCCGGATGGAAATCCACCAACGGCTCCGTCGATACCACCGGCTCCCGCGACAGTGTTCTAACCATGGGCGCATTGGAACACGTCCTGGAACGCAACCCCGCGCCGCTTCAGAAATTCTCCGCCCTCAACGACTTTTCCGGCGAGAATGTCGCCTTCCTCACCAGCGTCGCCGAATGGAAGAATTCGCTTCCCAAGGCACTCCGAGAAAACACCGCTCCCATGGATGACAACATGAAAGAGTTGCTCCACGAACGTTTCAATCGCGCATTAAACATCTACATCAAGTTCATCAGTGTTAGTCACGCCGAGTTTCCGGTGAACATCTCCTCCCAAGACCTCAGAAAGCTCGAAAGCATCTTCGAAGCTCCTGCTCGTGCCCTATACGGCGAGAAGCGCACTGTCGTCGATCCTGTCACTCCTTTCGATACCCCCAGTTTCCCCCTGAAATCTCTTTCCTCACCCAGCTTCGGTAACGGCTCCGAGGTCGCACTCCACCCGGTGTCCTCAGACGACCGTGTGCAATTTTGGGGCGAAGTCCCCGAGGCATTCGGGCCGACTGTCTTTAACGATGCCGAGAAGAGTATCAAGTATCTCGTTCTCACCAATACATGGCCCAAGTTTGTCAAGAGTCGCAGATCCTCTGATTCCATTAAGGAGGAGCCTGTCTGATTGGCTTTTTGGGACCACGTGGAACGAGATCTACTCTGTCGAGGCCCTGTATATATTAATATGCTAATGTGCTGGGATACACGGTGTATATATGCGAACGGTGTGTTTCATATGTTTCTATTACCTTGCGCAGTTTATGACGGTTTTGATTGTATATGTATGAGTTCTGATTTTATGTTGGATTTTTTTTTTACTTGGATACCAGTTTGTTTTGGCTACTTCACTGATTTGGAGGCCTTGTCGTCTTACCCAACACTTGTGCATTTATTGGATGTACAGTGTGTACTTTCTTTCTTTCTTTCTACCTTTCCTTCTCCCTTGGACATTTTCACTTTCTATACCTCATGATCTTCGGATTTCTCTTTGCATATACGGATATTGGTATGGATATATCGTGATATTATGCGTCTTTTCTTTATTACAGCTAGTGAATCTGAACATTTTCACTTGGAGAAACCAATGCATGCATGTGCTGGCACTGGTTCCAAATCGCAATACAATTTTACACAACTATCCTAGTCTCCATAACCATGCCCCAGTATATGAAAAAGTATATAATCACAAAATGAATAGATACTATCAAATCAAAACCATAATAATACACAAAAAACCCAATCACCGATACAGCACCCCATCCTTCGGCATCCCAACCTTTCCACCAGAAAAAGCACAACACCCAACCTCGACCCCATCCCCCGTCCCCTCATACACAACCCCCCATTGCAAGGGTATAGTCTCCACAGCATCCCCCTCTACCGAAGAAAACCCAGGATAGCACGCAGCAGCAATAGCCCGACTACAACTCCCCGCGACGGGCATGCCGGACGCAAACTTCCTACATCCCAACCCAACAAGACAAAAGAGCATGAACCCTCCAACAGCAATGGCACTGACAATCGCAACGGGGGAGTATCCGCACGTTGCGAAATCGAATAACCCGAAGCGTTCTAGTTGCATATTATACGACTCCACGTTGACGAGGAATAGACTCTGGGATATTAGCCAGTGGAGCACGGTTGAGAAGACCAGGAGCGGGATGGCGTAGGTATAAGGTAGGGAGAGGAAGTAGGTGGTGCGCTGGGAGCCGTGCGGGGTGGAGGAGACGCGGAGGCCTTTTCGATGGAGGGCGTAGTTGCTCCATTCTGCGGCGAGGGTCATGGCTGTGAGGACGCTGTTGGAGGCGAAGTAGAGGACGGAGAAAATGACTTGGGGGGTGTTGGCGATGATGGTGTTAGTGATTAGGGACGTTGGCCAGGCGTTTCCGCTGATGAGGGTTTCTGTGTTTGTGATGCCGAGACCGGACCAGATCTTCCCTTTGTTGCTGATTTGGCTGAGCCCGAAACAGAGGAGGCCAATGCAGATTGCGATGGCGATGATGTAGCTGATATTGTGGGGTTTTGTTAGTTGGGTTCTTGTTTGGCTTGGTAGGGTTGGTTTGTTTTGGGGGAGTATGTGCGCCCATACCATGTTATGCAGGTGGTCCATCGGAGTATGGAGACTGCGGCGGCCCATCTTTGGGGTTTTGCTTTGTAAGGGAGGGGCCTGGAAGTTGGGTTCTTGGCTAGGGTTTTAGACATGAGACAATGGTCTCTATCTCTTGTCTCAGGGGTCTTGAGAAATGAAGCCACCGCGTCGCCGGTTGTGAGGATGGGCAGGTCGGTCATGGTGAGGGCCACGGCACAAATGACGATTGCTTTGACAACGTTGAAAACGATAACGATAATAGCCAGAGGAAGACTGTACTCCAGCTTGCATTTCCCCGGAACTTTCTCTGCTAGGCAATATTTCACACGGTAGCCACCCACTATCCAATTGTCGGCATGCGCCCGGATCTCTGGAAGTTGGTCGCGACATAAAGTCTGCATCTCGCAGGCATACACGGTGTGATCGCAACACATCCAAGCGTATGGATTATCTCCCTTGTCGGTGGTAGAGGGTCCCTGGAACGATAGAAAGTCGAAGTCGGTGTCGTTCGGGTGAAAGTCGTCGGTGAGTAAAAGTACGCTGCCGTATTTTGATTGGAAGTTTGTGGCGTACGCGGACATGCAGTCGCCATTTTCCAGGCGGTAGAGCTCGTCGTGGAGTCCTTTCTCGAGCATTCTCGAGAATGAGAAGTAGGGGTTCATATATCTGGTGTTATTCTTTTCTATAACATCGTTAGGTGGCCGGACGCTCGCTGCGTTGAAATCGGAGAACGGCTTGTTTCCTGCAAAGATTTCGTACTGGAGGTTTGTGATTGTCGAGAAGATGGTCGAGTTGTAACTGTTGTTCCGGTTAATATTTGCTGATAAGCATATTGCTTGAAGGTAGAGTGCAGAGTAACAAATGTCAACCTACAATAGGTGAAGCGGAAGAGATGATAGCGCTAGAGTCAGCCATAGAATGAGTTTAATCTTCGAGATTCGAAACAAATTTCGCATGCCGGGTACACCAATGTCCAGCCAATTATTCTTTTGATGTGCGCGGTCAATCTCCGTTCGTGTAGGGGCGCATAGGCATTGCTGTCTTAACGTCAGGATTCAAGCACCATGCCTGCAGGGAAAAGATGCAGGTATCCACCATAGTATAGGAACTGGCGCAAAGCAGAGCAGTGCTTAGAATGTTGATGACCAAGTGAATCCCAGTACTCATTCTCTTGGTCTTGGTACAATCGCCGGTATAGAGAACCCCACGATCGTCTGTGAGATCATGATGCGACACGGCCCAGGCGACAAAAGAAACATTAAATAGAAGTACGATTACGCTTGATACTGCGCCTAGATATAACGATCGTTTCCAGTTTTCTGCTTTGCGTTTCTTCCGGTATATTCGCGTCGATTGAACTCCCGTCCGGTCGCTGAGTTCTTTTCCATCTTCGCTCGACGAGTTTGGCCCTAGTGTTTCTTCATCTCGTGGAATTGCAAGCAATTCGACCGTTTCCGCACGGTCGTATGTTTTTTGAGTCATGGTTTGCGATTGAGAGGGAGAATATGTAGCATCCGGGGTTGATTCGCCATATCAGAGTTAACAATATGAAGGAAATTCAGAATCGACGTGCGCAGCTGACATTTGGCGGGATCAACAGCGGACCCTGAATTGGGTCGAAGGCAGTGACTGCCTTGGCGAGTTTAATTTAATTAGCAGAGATGAAAGAGGACTAAAGCACGCAGATCTTTTCCCAGAAGCGAATCGTTTGATATTGGGGGCCATTCGGAGAAGCCTTGCCAACTAATTTAGCCCGCTAATAGGCTAACGGTACGGGTAGAAGCTTGGGGACACGGTCTAGGTCTGTGCTGCTCTTCTGATCGGCAAGTCCCCTAACCGGCTATATACACGCTTTGGATAGGGCAACGGAGCGACGAGACGATGTACAACTTGGCACCCACGTATAAGGGTATCATTTTTGTCTTTGAACTCGTTAGCTACACGAAGCTGTTTAGAGTCAATAAGCTTCTGAGGGAATGGTTTGACGTAGATATTCATATAGTCACAATAGGGCTAATGTGAGATAGTCGGACAGCAAAATTAAAACGTATGATAGCAATCTAAAGCTGGATGAGGTTATCGGAAGATATTCAACTTCTCCTTTTGCCCCAACAATTGATCCTAATCCCAAATGATCGCAGTCATTATTCTTTGCGAAATAAAGAAGCTCGCTTTTAAGACCGTTGTTCAGGGCAGGTGAGCTGACCATTAACTAATTGAAACACCCCTTCTATAGCATGTTAACCTGAATCCAGCTTAATATTGGTTCAAGACTCACCCTGGTTAAATGAGATCTTAGCCGCCCTTCGCTGGGATCCCCGAGCGACATATTCCAAGGGGCGCCGGGCCACATTATCGCACCAACAATCGATTCGGTACCTGTCCTGAGAGATCCTGACATATTCACAGCCCCAGCAACCACCTCTCGCGAGTCCTTGTCCACTAGATGTATCATTCAGCATCCATAACGTATAAAACCAAGACTGGCTATAAATATGAATAGAGAGAGCATGAGGATATACATACTTCGGTAGAGCGATCAATGTCTCACTAACAGTATCCCAACCGAGACAACTGTCCAAGACCACTTCTGTAGGACGTGCATCCCTGCCACCGGATTTACAGTTGCCAAAAAGCTTGGCGCGAGGCATCTGTGGTGGTGCATTCGAGTTTCCGGCTGGCTGATTGCCGTTGCTGGCAGGGGGTGGCACACCATTCGGCGGCGGTACAGGGTCGCGTTTCATGGGGGTGTTTGGAGGTACGGGTGGCTCCCCCGTGTTCGGTTCAAGAAGTCCATATATTGGCTCTGGGACTATGGCGTTTGATGCAGATTGAGCAGCTCTGTTGGCTCCGCCTCTGTTTGGCTCTGGCGGTGCTGCGTTTATGTTTCTCACCGGGAGTATCTTAACACCCACACACTGGTCGTGGATCTGTCGGGTTGACGAACGTGGGTTCTGGATCGTATTTACTCCAGCTCCTGTTCCACTGCTTCCGGCTTGGCTTCCGGGGCCAAATCTTATACTGACCGCTAAAGCTGCGAGGTAGAAAGCGATAAGAATACAAGTTCGAAACATCTCAGCGGTGTTGATAATCCGTGGTTGACTTTACTGTGAAAAGAGGAGAACAGGGATGACTTAGGGAGCTGTGTACGTTTTCTTGCCAGGGCCACTGGTTATAAAGCCAGATGTCTCTATTATCTGATCGCATGAGAAGAAACTTTGCTCTTTGTATAGTGCGGCTCGGGAATGGCAGTCACTCTTTGTAGTAGGAGATATGTAGTCTAGATTCTGCCGAGTGTACTTTGCACTAATAATGATCTTCGAAGATTGTATGAGAATCTTTGTTATATATGGGCAAAGGTCCTGTTTGGCAATCAAATTATCAAAGACGGGGCAACCGGGCAACGAAACTTTACCGGCGACAACACTAGGAAATTCCAGGAAAGAAAGGCCAGTGTACTGCGCTTGGCCAAGAGCCCGTCGATCCATGCTGGACTTGATATTGGAGGTAACACAGCTTATTTCTTTGTCAAGCAAGTCTTGTCGCTTTTAGGAGCATGGGCCTCACTAGCTGACTCCCACTTGGGATATCGTTGGTATATTAGGATTACTTGGAAATAGCTTCCGGGGAGCAGAAACTCTACCAGGCTCCTGATAGTGATCAGTAACCTTACAAATATGCCTTTAGAAATGAGTGATATTGCGAGTACTCGGCAAGGGGGGAGTCGAAGGGGTTATCTTATACTATCAGCAGTTGAGTCCCGACCATTGAACCATTATTAAGAACAAAAAGCAAAGAGCTATAATGTCCACTAAGCGATGTCTCTCCGACTATGGTACCTAAACACATGTGTAACTCCTCCAATCGCTTAGGCTACCTTTCAGAAATCTCGCCTCCTTCGGCCATACACACAGCTTCCTAGTTGTATTCGACCCGTCAGGAGGCGCATCGCTCATGATTTCCTCGGGGTGAATCCCATCCTCCACCCACGGCAACAAAGCATCAAGAGCGTGGTAAGTGGCCGGTACGTGACTGTACGCTGAATTGGCCCCACAGTGTCCACCTCCAGGAACCATGAACAATTTGATGAAATCAGAGGCCTCTTGCCCTTGTACAGTCGACTGGATTTGTTTCAGGTGCTCGATTGGCCACGTGGCGGCATTGTACTGATCCGCCCATCCTTGAAGCGTGATTAACTTGCCTCCTCGCTGACTGAACGCTGAGAGATCGGGAGAAATTTCGTCAATGGCCGGTGATGCGGTGATGTCTAAATACTCGACATCAGAGCCCCAGTTGAAAGATGTGACGTTATATGTTCGGTCTTTGAAGACTAGCTGTCGAAGGATAGGAGCCGCGTACGAGGAATACAAAAATGTCTCTTGGGCTAGCCAACCGCTTTCAGAGCCCAGGTCAAAGCCGGGATAGATCTGCTTTCCGGTACGTTGATCCTTCGGTCCAGCATAAATTTGGAGTGCAGATTGGACTTGGGCTGGAGTAAGGCATACAATCTTATTGTTGGCGATAGCAGTCTGACCAGTCTGGCACTCCAGCGTCTTTATGTCAAAGTTACACCTCAGAGGGTTCTCAATTAAGCCATTTTTGACGCCATCCAGTTCATCACAGGCAGCAACTGTTTGATTCGTGATGAAATTTAAAGCATCTTGACCCATAAATCCCTTCCCTGTCGCACGCAGCCCATTCCAGAGAAAGCTCAGTATCAAATGGCTGTACCAGTTTCCCGGACTTCCAGCATAGATACCATCAAACAAGGTAGGGTGATACTCCGCAAGTGCGTAACCCTGAGCACCACCAGTCGAGCAACCCCAGAAATAACTGTAGGCTGGTTGCTCAGCGTAATATTTGGCAGTGATGGCCCGAGTGACATTGGTGGTCATGGCTATTGAATTGTGGATCCACGCTTTTACTTTCGCAATATCGTCTAGGAATGGTACGGAGTCGTTAGGTCCACTAGGTTCACTTTCTGATAATGGATGTCCACTATCACAACCCGCTACTGCGAAGCCGGAATTAAGGTTTGTGAGCATGGTGGAATTATCAATATTGCCCGCAAAGCCTCCGTTCCCTAGGGCCTCAGTCAGTGGACAGCTACATATATATGGTCTCTGCATTCTTACCCACAGCGAGGAACCGTCCATTGTAATGAGTCTGGACCGGAAGGAATAGTTCCCAGGTAAGAGTGTTATCCCCACTTGGATCCGGCGTAGCATCCCCACCAGCCATGTAGTTAATAGTTCCTTGGACATGGCACAGAGGAAGTTCATTTTGGATCGCATTTCCATTACTAGATAGTGTGAGACCTCCTATAGGCACATTCTGTACGAGATGGATTCGTGCCGCATTGTGAACCTGGACTCCAGCGAGACGTGCACAATCGACATTCTGTTGCCGCTCCAGCGGGATGCCCTTGACAACTTCTAGAACCGTAAACGCGTAGACTATAGGAAAAGTTCTCATTGTGAGAGACGATGGAATTTAGATGCACTGGCTTCCATTCATGGTTTCCGAAGACAGAGGGTTCTTTAGGTTTTGAGAGAATCGAGGGACATGAAGCTCTCAGGACAATAACTTCCCCACCTGGGATGATCGACGAAGTTACACGAATCATGATTTATGAGCCGGTAATATTGACCGGCTGAATATTGTACAGAATGTTGCGTGGAACCTTAGGTGGGATCATCCATGGTCTAGGACCGGATCGCCGATATATCGGCCTTCGGCGCCGTCGGCCGATGATAGTATGCGGAACGGAAACCACGGAATATTGTCTATAGTGAGACACCCAGTCTGAGAAGTATCAACTACATATAGGCCGTCGGTATAATTCGACCCGACCAACCGGGGGTTCTCTGTTCACTGTTTGATCTCAACATTGGGGATTTTATTTACGTGAGACGCTTTGGGCCCATACACAGGTCAGTTCAGGCCCAAGTGTTTTATACCCTACATTCATTTTATCATTGGTTTAGCGAAAGTTGGTTTACCTAGAAAGGACCACCGCCAAGGCATCAAAATGCTCGACAAGCGCCCCCTCCGCATTGGCAATGTCTCCGGTGCAACAGGTGACCATCCCAAGGCAATGTTGCGGATGGCGCAGCATGGCAATGTCGATGTCATCGTCGGAGACTGGCTATCAGAGATGAACATTGCATGGAATGCCATAACCAAATCACAAAACCCTGATTTGGGATATGAGCCTGGCTTTCTTGCCCAGTTGAGCGACTGCCTAGATATCATTGTAGCAAAAAATATCAAGGTCGTCGCAAATGCTGGGGCGTTGAACACATCATCGCTGATGCAGAAGGTTTGCGTATTATGCAAAGAAAGAGGACATAGCCAAATCATAGTGGCTTCAGTACTAGGAGATAATATCTCGGCTCCCATCCAGAGGAAGGAGCCTGGCTTCCAGGACTTACATCATTTGGACCATGTGGAGTGGAAGTTGAAGGATTGGCCATTGGAGCCACACTGCGCCGTGGCATACATTGGGGCATGGGGCATTGTGGAAGCCCTAAATGCAGGCGCTGACATTGTCATATGTGGTCGTGTGACGGATGCTTCTCCAGTTATTGGTGCCGCGGCGTGGTGGTATAGGTGGGAGCGAGACGCCTGGGATGAGCTTGCTGGTGCACTGGTTTCTGCACGTATGTATATTACGTGCTAGACCCAATTGACATCTTACTGACTGAAATTGTCATAGACCTCATTGAGTGTGGCCCGTATGTGACCGGTGCCAACTTCTCTGGCTTTAAGCCCTTGCTTCCTAGCCTTGTCGACCTCTCCTTCCCTATCGCTGAAATCGATCCTGATGGCAGTTGCATAATTACTAAATGCGAGGCCTACGGTGGGGCAGTGACTAAGTTTAACACCATCGCCCAGCTGCTCTACGAACTCCAAGGCGAGTTATATCTCAATCCGGACGTCGCAGCCGACCTGCGAAATGTATCCGTAGATGAAGTCGGCCTCGATCGTGTCAGAGTCTATGGTACTATAGGACAGCCACCCCCACCAACGACAAAAGCGATGATAGCAGCCCCAGGAGGCCATCAAGCCGAAGCGATATTCTATATCAATGGCCTGGATGTGAATGAGAAGGCAGAGATGCTTCGCAATCAGCTCGATCATGCTCTTCGTGGTAACAACTTCTGCAAATTGTCTATTGAACTCTACGGCTCACCTGCCATTAATCCATCTAGCCAACAGGCGGGAACAGTATTTCTACGAGTGTTTGCGCAAGCAAGGAGTATGGAGGATATCTCGGCGGAAAGGTTCAAGACATTGATATATGCTCTGCGGATGCAAAGCTATCCTGGTATGCTATCTCTTTATATAATTTTAAGAAATGATTATCCTGACGGAGAAAAGGATATCACATGAACCTCGATTTTCGGATGATGGACGCAAAGCCATTCATGGAGATCTTTCCAGCACTTATTCCCCAGAACCTCATACACCATCGGATCGTCCTCTCCAATGGCTTGGAACAGGATGCACCATGTGCGCCTAACACGAGAACATACCCGATTCAAAGACCTTCCTATGGGACCAAGATTCCCATACCTTTAACCCAGTTCGGCGCCACGCAGGCCGCCCCGTTGGGAAGTATAGTTCACGCCCGGTCAGGAGACAAAGGGGACAATTTCAATGTGGGCTTCTTCGTCCGAAACTCCGACGAGTATCCATGGTTGCAATCATTCTTAACTGTGGATCGATTTAAAGAGCTGCTTGGGGATGATTGGCCAAAAAGAGATAATGAACCTCGAGTGGAACGATGTGAGTTTACAAATTTGTTGGCTGTTCACTTCAGGGTGCTAGACTTCCTAGATGGCGGCATTGCTAGTTCTAGTCGGATCGATGGATTGGGTAAAGGGATAGGAGAGTACTTGAGAAGTCGAGTGGTGGAAGTCCCGAAGAAGTTTTTAGAAAGAGGTTGGATCTGATTGAGGCTCCACATGTGCTGAGACAAGAAGGTATATAGATTGGGATTAATTAATACAATAATATAGCAATGCGAACTCGATAATCACCACATGGGGGTAATATTCATGTCTATGTC